ATGCTCTGCTGCTGCCCGTGACCTTTGGCTCGGGATCAGGAAGGTCACGGCTGCAGGAGGCACCAGGCTGTCACTGCTCCTCGCCGGAGCCGTTTCATCACGGCTGCTCTGGCTGCAGGAGCCGTAGCTGGGTTCAGCTCCCAGCCTCCCCTCCTGCTGCCCAGGCAGGGCATGTCCCACCAGGACAGGGAAATCAAGGTACTGCAGCAGCAGTGAATTATTGCTCACAAAAAGCGAGCAGTGCCCCGAAGATGTGGGGTGAGGTGACCTCCACGAGTACCTGCGCACGCGCTTCCTCTGAGGGTTTGGTGTCTGAGCACCAAGGCTGCACAGTAAACCAGAGATTAATGCAGAGCTGAACAGAGTAGGCCAGAATACAAAGTAGAACAAAGGCCTTGCCTTGCCTTCAGTTCCTTGCCCATACTTTTGTTTTATTTATTTCATTTACTTCAGGAAAAACTTCCTGTGCCCAACTCCCAGCTTACAACCCTGACTTTGCGTGACTCAGGCATGCAATAGTAGCCTCCTTCCTTTGCAGGAAGCAAAGCTCCTGGACAGCCAAGTCCCCAGCAGATTTTCCAGGCAGCCAACACACCCTGGAAGCCTCATGCCACTTCCAGAGGGTCTGGCCAGGCAGAGCCACTCAGGAAATCTACCCCTCAATGCCAGTCATCAGCATCCAGGGAGCCACACCAAGGTTTAGAGAGCCCCTGATCATTCAGCAAAAGCCATTAACTACTCCCAGGGAATGTGTCCTGGGATCACTGTTCCAGCAGGCTTCAAAAGACAGCCTGCAAAGCAGAGCCAGGAGCGAGTGGGAGAGCAGAGCCAAGAGGTGGGGCTTCCCATCATGTGTTAGCAGGTCATTCAGAGAATCACAGAATCATTAAGGTTGGAAAAGCTCTCTAAGATCATTAACTCCAACCATTATCCCAACACTGCCAAGCCCACCACTGAACCATGTCCCCATGTGCCACATCTACAAGTTCTCTGTCCTTGGCACCACATGCTCCATGCCTTGCTCTGCTTCTAAAACACACCGAAGGCCAGTCAAAAGGAGTTGTCGTAGAATTTTTCCTTTAGGAAAAACATTTTCAAGGTCTCCTCCTTGCATCCACACAGCACAGAACCACAGAATTGTTTAGTTTGGAAAAGCCCTCTAAGATCAAGTCCAACCATTCCCCCAGCACTGCCAAGGCCACCCATGTCCCCAGGTGCCACATCCACATGGCTGTTAAATCCCTCCAGGGATGAGGACTCCACCACTGCTCTAGTCAACCTGTGCTAGTGCTTGACAACCCTTTCAGTGAAAAAATATTCCCTAATATCCAACATAAACATGACTCTAAGGCAGGCTTTGGGATGACAATGGTCTGCCACACAGGTTGAGCACTAATAATCCACTGAGAGGAGCACAGAAACACAAACACACTTGTATCTGTTTTCCAAACTACAACAAAGTGCTCTCACAGATTGGGAAGGCAGAGGAGCTTGCATGCCAATACTATGGCTGGGCCTGACCTATTGACATTTCTGCAGGCTCCCCATTCCTACGTGGGGCTGTCGCTTTAAATTTGAATTGCCTGGGTTTTTTCTCTCGCAACAGCCTGATATTTTTTGCTCGTGAAGAATAAATATTTACAAACCTTAACTCTCGCCAACAAAGGCATTCTGTTCCAGAATTTTCTTGGGCTTTTGTTCTGTTTTTAAACAGTTTTAGAAATCGTTGCCCAACACTTTAATTTCTGTTATTAAAACAAGCAAGTCAGTAAAAAGATACATGAAGGAGGGGAAGGACCACAGCAGCTCACAGTTCACATTCAAAGGTTTTCAGTAACGCGTTGAAAAACAGCTGAGAGCATCTGCAGGGGATAATAGCACAGGAACTCCACACAAGGACAGGTCACCAAGCTGTAGGAAATATGTTTTCTTGGTAAACTAACGAGGGCTCAACAATTTCACGCAATGTGAGCTTGTAAACAGATTAAAAAACCCTAAAGGATTCAAGACAAAGCCTCGATGCGGCAGCACTTCTCCTCCAGCCAGAGGAGCTGACTCCACGTTCCTCCAACATCTCAAGAGCTGTAAACAAAAGCAGAGCCCAGGAAAGCAGTGACCAGCTCACCATTTATCAATCCCCAGGCCTGACATCCCCGAGTACTTGACAGCCCACACACGTCCAGCAGCATGGCCAAGCACAGCACACTTCATGGGGACGCAGAGGAGGGTTCATGCCCTGTGTGGGGCAGCGAGCAAAGGTCAGGGGAGACATCTGGCTAAACAAGAGCTTCCAGCACCAACCCGAGGCCAGCCACACTTCCCGTGCCCAGTGGAGTATAAAGGGAGTCGTATTTCACATTTCTACCCTGTGCTGGCAAGAACATTGTGTCCAGTTTTTGTACTCACACCTACAAAAAAAATATTGTCAGAAACAGCGGGTTCAGACAATGGCTACGATAATAATTTTTGGGTGTGAAAAAACAGCCTTAAGGTGAGAACCTTAAGGAGTTCACTCAGCTTAGTTTCCCAAGAAGAAAGTTAAAAAGCAACTTGACGCTGGTCCATGCATTCCTGTCCAAAACAATGATTAATATTAGTGGCTCTTTAATCTTGCTCACTGCAATCCAACCGCCGGAGGCTGGAGCTGCAACGTCCAAATCCAGACCTTAGGTGAAAATTGTTGCCATATGGGTCTGTGAGACTCAGATGTCTTTCCAGAAGAGATGTTCCCACTCAGTTGTCCACACAACCGAAATTCAGGGGGGTCTATCCTCCTGCCCACATTATGCTGAAGCCAAAGCAGCTCTTCCTGATTTCCCTCACCCATCCCAGTTCCAGAGGTGATGGTGACCAGCTCAGACCCTACGTGGGTTGCAGGGCGAGGAGGTCTCCCAGACCACACAGCTGTAGAAATCTCTGCTTTCTGAATGTTTGTCGTAGGAAAACCAGCAGACAAGTAAGGACAAGGCCGTGGCTGAGCTGCTGTGGGACAGCAAAGAGACCCCCAGAACACGAGGAGAACTCCAGCACATTCCCATTACAGTCACTGCCAGAAGGGAGTAGCCAGAATGGGCAACCAGGCAGCTCCTGTGGACAGAGAGATGGAGAGAGCAGGCTGGGAGCGATGAGATAAATACTGAAGAGAGATGATGCATTGCATACCCCTCACACAATATAGAGCTGCTTCACTCTATTAGGTGGATGGATGGCAGGGAATTTAAGAAGAGAAATAGATTTTTTACTAAGCTAATTAGCTAAAAAGGCTTGTCTGGAAACACGGGCCCCATTGTGTCTGAAGTCTGCTGACACACAGCTCAGAGTAGCATTTTTCTTCCCTGCTATTACTCTGCCTCTCAGAGCATCTCTCACCGGCAGAGAAGAGGGGGTGGGATCCCTGCACCAAACCACAGCACCCAAGACACCCACCAAGATGCCCAAGTGACACAGAAAATACACGCGTGTATGTGTTTATACATGTAGAGATGCACACACTTGCAGGCATCTCCATATGTACACAAACATACATTACTCATTAATACATTCTATGCATGAAAATATCAGTATACTAAAAAAATAATAAAATCCATGGAAGAGCACAGTTTGCCATCAAAACCAGCCCCACATTAGCCTGCCCTGTAATTTAAAAGCAAACTGGGGGCACTTGACAAAACAAAAGGGCTGTAGATTTAAGAGAAATAAAATAAAAATACGACTTGACCCAGCGCAGTCACTTCTGGAATCCACTACCCCAGGAAGTCATGGAGACACACACCAGTGGAACAGACATTTTAAAGGACTGGATAATTTTATGAGCATTAATAACATTTGCAGCTATGCAAGCTAATAAAATGTTACAAGGGTAATCAAACTTCATGCTTCAATGTGTAAGTTGATCACCTGTGAGCGCTGGGAAGGAATTTCCTCTCTGGTGCTGTTGTGCTGAGCAAGTAGCCAGCTGTGCCACAGGAGTGCATTTTTAATAAAAAAAAAACAAAACAAAACAAAACAAAACAAAAACCTTAAAATATTAAAACAAACAAAAAAAATCAGTGTCACTGCTGCTGCCTCTGTCTCTTTGATTTGGTTTTCTCCTTCTGCAAGAGCTGGCACCCACCAGAGAGACACTGAATATCAGTGGGAGCTTTGATGTCAACTTCCTAAAGTTTCCTGGTACAGTTTGGGACAATATATCTGCCACACTCCAGAAATAATATCACTTTACTCTTGGAGGGTTGTTCCTATGAGCTGGCAGCAGGAATATACCAAGCTTAACCTGTTGTTCCAGGACCACAGATCCCACATTTACTCTTCACTGCTTCCACACCAGACAAGTTGTGTTGGCCAATGAAGCACAGGCTCTTCCATTAACTCTGAGCCCTAACACAGAGCAGCTCCAGGTATTCTCAGGAAAACCTGGCAGCTTTTGAGCTCTCTACCACTCCAGAACTACCCAGTGTGTTATTTATAACATCCGAGCAGCAACCTTGGTATTCCCAGTGTTTCCCCCCTCAGAAGTTAATGCCCTCGTAATTAATGAGCTGACAGAAAACTCTGCAATCTGCTGCCACAGGCTTGGGGAAAAAAACGACAGACTTTGCTCCTGTGCCTCCCCTTCTGTTCGAGGGAATCCAGACACCGTTCAGCCAGCTGGGGAGGAGGCTGAAGGGAGGATGGGACACAGCAGAAGTGTCAAAATAAACCTTCTACTTAGAAATAACCAGCACAGGGGGTTACAGATAGAAGTCCAAAGGGCTGAAGAGGGTGACTGTGTGGTCAAACAAGAGATCTGCTCCAGGAGAATTCCCTCTCCAAAGCAAAAAGAGAAAATAGAGATTTTTATATAATGTATACGGGTAAAACATGTGCTCTGGGCTTTCCACCAGCTCGCTGTGGTCAGCGAACTGCAGAGTCTGCTGTGCTCTCCTGGAAGGTACAGGCCTCGGGAACACAGGATTACAGCCCACTGCTGTACCCTCCTCCACCCACCCATCCCTCCATCGTGGTTAAAAACCACATGTATCACCATGGTAACCAAATACCAACCTGAATCCTTCACTAAATCCGAGCAGCCACCACCCAGGTCTGGCTTCACTGCTCATGTTCCACCTGTCCTTGGGAGCACCCTTTCCTAGGTCCAGGAGCCAGGAGTTGGAAGAGGAAAGACACACTTCCCCAGGACAGGAGGAGAAAGTCTCTTATTAGAATTAAGAGGTACATTACTTATCACCTGGGGTTTCTTTATTCCCAAAGTCCTCATTTGAGCAGAAGGTACATTCCAAGGCGGACCATGAGGATCCATCAACCAGCCTGGCCACGCATGAGTTTGGGACCATATTTCTTCTCCTTCCTCTTTGTCCTTAGAGGACTGCAGTTCAATATTCCTTTGAAGAGGGGAGGCAAAGGACATGAGGATTACAAGTGTCAGCCACCCTTTCATCCCCTAACAATCATTCTCACTGTGACAGTGTCCTCCAGGCTACAGAACCCATATTTTTCTGAACACGCAGCACCAAGAATTACACTCACTGCCCTCCAAAGACCTTTCCAAATGACACCCCCTCCTCAGCCACAGCAGCATTTGGCCTGGAACACGATATGCCCCGAGAAAGCCGTAACTTCCCCCATCAGGAAAGCATTTTAAATCACAATTAGAAGAGCACCATCATCAGCGCCCAGAGCTGACAGCACGTGTGATGTCACACACATGAACCCCAGCAGGCTGACAGCAGCCTTGGGCTCTGATAGACTGTCAAATTACAGGCAATAAAGTATGACATCATGATGACATCATGGAAGGAGAAATTTAATTCCCAGCTCAGAGGCTATCAGTTACTGCTTTACTCTAAAACCCGTCGTTATCTGCGTGAGCAATGAGCAGAATCAATCATCTCCACAGCTCTTTATGGTCACCATAAATTTGGAACACTTATGTCTCAGCCACCTTCCCGGGTATATTGGAGCCCATCTGTCGGTTCCTGCGATGTTCCCTCAACATCCCTGTAAAACCCACGAGCACATTTCAGGCACAATCGAGGGAAATAAAAGACATTCCCGGTCGGGATGAGCTCACACACATTTGGCTTTGGAGCGTTCAGGTACCTGTCAGCCCTGCACGTGGCTTCCCTCAGCCCCAGGCTGACTCAGACGGATTCACCACGGACAAACCCTCTGACACCTGCATCACCTCCAAAAGCTGTTTTAAACTCCATTGTGACGAGCACTTCAAGATGTGCTTCGAGATCGCAGGCTGCCCATCTCGCCCCCTTCTGCCAAGGCATTTAAAAATAGATGGTAATAAAGTATTAATTTCACATATACAGCAAGCATGTGGCCCAGCAGGTTACAGCAGAGATGAACGTGCTCTCCAGTGAAATTGAAACAGGTGGAATATTTTGGGGATTTTTTATGAGTAGATGATACTAATCTGCCTACTCTAACAAACAGGATCATACACACAATTAACTCAGTCTTCATAACACCTCCAGCAGTGATAAGAGATGAATTTTTCATAAGATTCTTGATACAGAAGAGGTGTCCTTTGTCTTTGCCTCCTTTTATTGTTTTTTATTTTACCCATTCCTGAAAAAAACAAAGCAGTGCCAAGACCTGAAAGTTATCTCCTGGAGCATCAAGTATATTGGAGACCTCCTGACTGTGATGAGCCAGGAAACTTCTCCACTGCAATGAACTCTTATTTCTAATTTCCTGACCTCCAGAGCATTAGATTAGGTCAGTCTGATCTTTATCAGCTACCTTGGAAACATAAAAATATCCTCTGTTTGCTCCCATCCCAGACACAATTCCCCACAGGGATTGAAACAGCAGGACTGACCCATTTCCACCCATTGAAACTGTATTTGTTGTATCTTACAGATCCCATGCAAGAAAGTCACCACACACAAAAGTGACCTCCCCATGTTATCAGTGTGATTGCCAGGGACCTTCGAGACATCCTTGACTCAATCCCAAAATCCTTGCCCAGGATGCTTCATGGTGGTGCCTTTAAGGGAGTTCAGCTGACAGACATCAAACACGGTATGGAGTTTTGACACATTTGTAACTGTTTGTTGATGTTTGGAATGACCTTGTTGACGTGTAATCCCTGGGGAGAAGAAAAAAAAGTCCCACTGACAGTTGGGCACAAAATATTCGACTTCTGCCAAGGATAACCTCGGTGTCAGTATCAGCTGGATCATAACCCAGTGTGGAGTTCACTTCATTTTCCAGATATTTCATGAGATAGTCTTTACACTATCTCAAGTCATTACTTCTGCAGAAAGATCAAGGATAACAAGTTTGGAGATGAAAGAACTTTGCAAGTCACCTTCTCTTTTCTGACAGGCAGTGAATAACCCAAAGAACAAGGCCACCTCATTTAAGAAGGGCTGTGGGACAAGTCACTTTTGGCTCTTGGTATTCAGGGAGGGCAAAAAACTGCTAAAATGTAATAACCCACTTCAGTTCTTAGGTCTTGCAGTCACAAAAAAATCACTGTCTCATTTCAGCTCTGCACCTCTGATTACTTGGAGGCGTCCTGGAAGCGTGACTTCGCACTAGCATCCAGCGCTGGGAATGATTTTAAAAGGCCACTGAGTTTCCCTTAACCCAATTTCCACGGTCCTCATCAGTCACACACGATTAACAGCTAATTATAGGCAGGCTCTGAGACAGCAGCCTGCATGCAACACTCACCACGCTCAACGTGGCTGACACACCACATAACTCCACAGCCACCAACCAGGAGAGAGAGAAAAATGGGCAAAGGATTCACTAAATAACCTCAAACCCGCTGTATAAATGTAGCTCAGAGTTAAACATTCAGAGCGTATGCGACCGTAGCACTGGCAATTACTGGATTTGTTACTGCCTCAACCATCATGACAGGCATTGAAATAAATCTCATTTATATGACATACAGTCATCTAGAAAGGCTTTTTTTTTTTTTTTAGAAATTCTTTTAAGATGTCAATGCACTACACATGGCTCCGTTTTGAGACCTCTCCAGACTGGAGATCAGACAAGATATACAAGCCTTTCAGCCTGCCAAGTTTCATACTTGTTAAGAGTGAGCCTGAATTCTGAGCGTTTTCTATACAGTGCCTCCACGAATGTGATTAAGGAAGGCCTCTTGCCATCAAATGTTGTTGCAGGGATTCAAACCCCCCTCTCACATCAGCCCAAAGGGCTGGGCTCAGCACTGTTGGGCTCCAGACATGCATTTTGTATTTGCCTCTGTAGCTTGGGCCCAGGATGTTTCTCTGGAGCCTGGAGCACAGCCCAGATGTTTCTCCTGGCTCCTCGGGCATCCCCACCCACCTCTGGTACCCTCCACCCCCCCTCCTCTCAGTAAGTCACACAGTTACACTAAGCTGGAAGACAGGGGGGGCTGAGGAATCTCTTAGTTGTTCTGGTCCAGGGATGCCAAGGACTGAGCAAGAGGTTACTGATGTCAAAAACTGTGTTAGGGGGGTTTATGTTGGATCTCAGGCAAAGGTTCTTCCCCCAGAGGGTGGTTGGGCACTGACCAGGCTCCCCAGGGCAGTGGGCACAGCCCCAAGGCTGCCAGAGCTCCGGGAGGATTTGGACAATGCTCTGAGGGACAGGGTGGGATTGCTGGAGTGCCTGTGCAGGGCCAAGAGTTGGACTGGATGATCTTTGTGGGTCCTTTTCAACTCAGGAGATTCTGTAATCCTATGAAACCCAAGAGCACCTCCCTGAAGAGGTCCTGTCTCCAAGCTCAGGGTGGTTGCACTTCTGAGAAACACAGTCCTGAGGCAGCGGCTTCACCGCATCACTCTGTCCTTAAATACTTTGGAAAGGGGCATTATGGCAGATGCTGTGACTGGGACTCACCACATGTACCCACTGAGCAGCAAAGAAGACCACTTGTTACGTTTCTCCATTTGCACATCACACCACCACAAATTACAGCTCAATTAGTCTCTCCTGGAATCCATCACACATCTCCACAAGAACGTCATCCCAGCTACTGCGCTATCCAAGCAAGTCGAGGCAGTAAGTAGAAAGGGCTAATTGGGGAAGGGGGGGAGACACTGTTTCCTGGTGTTAAAAATAACTGCCACTTCCAGGAAATAATGGTATAAATAGAAAATGAAACCATTCCTCCTCCAAAAATATTTCATAATTATGTGTCATAAAAATAATTAGGTTATGGTGAATTAGTACAAATGTTTACAACAAAATTGCCATGCAAAACATTATGGGTAATAACATGCTAATTGCTGTAGAAGCAAAAGCTGATTATGTTTCAGCAATATTAAAAGTTGCCAACTCGGCGCTACTATCCAAGCTTCAATATCTCCCGGCAGCATTTAGGGACACAGGGAAAACTGGTGAGGAGGGAAGGAGGTGGTAGGTAGGCAGACTGTGCACTGCACTGTCCTTGCTGAGTGGTAATTCCTGGAAAGCTCATGCCAGGTAATCCTCATGGAGAACATACAGGGGGTGAGGTGCCACAGAGTCACAGAATGTGTTGAGCTGGAAGGACCCACAAGGACCATCCAGTCCAACCCTCAGCCCTGCACAGGCCCATCCCCCTGAGTCATCCCCTATGCCCCAGAGGATCAGCCAAACCCTCCTGGAGCTCTGGCAGCCTTGGGGCTGTGCCCACTGCCCTGGGGAGCCTGGTCAGTGCCCAACTGCCCTCTGGGGGTAGAACCTTTTGCTGAGATCCAACCTACTCCCTGGGTACCTTAATGAACACAGAACAACAGCAGCACCCAGGGCAGGTTGCAGCACAGTCACCTCTCCATCTGCTGCCAGGCCCTGACCCAGGCTGGGGCTGCCCAAGCTGGTCAGGAGTAGCTGATCTGGCTCCCATCAGGAGCGGTGCTGCCACTCCTGCAGATGTGAGCTGTGATCCTGCTCCACCCAGACATCACCTGAGCATCTGCTCTGCCCAAAGGCAACCAGCCTGCAAGACTCCATCCATAAGCCTGGGCAGGATGGTGCTGAGGTGGAGCTGACACGGCTTGCTCATTCTGAGGTCCCTGCAGGGTGGATTGCTCTGTCTCTGCACCCCCTTCTCCAGCACAGCCCTCCCCTCTGAGTACCTGCTCGCTGCCTGGCACATCCCAAACCCTGTTGATTCAGGTGCAGAGCACGTTCCTCTGGCTCCAGCCAAGAGCTGCCACACCACCTGCCCCAGAGGGACCAGACCCCTGCCACAGGGATGGTTTTAGCCCCTGGCTGATCCCAGGGCAACACCCTCTCTGCTCTGTCCACTCCAGGTCCTGTGCCTGGCAGGGCCTGCAGGTCTCCAAGGGGTGAGCTCCACGTGCCAGCAGGCAGTGACCAGATCTGCAGCAGCAGCAGCCTCTGCTTGAGGAGGTCTCTTTGACTGCATGGATGTCCTCCTGGGAGCTGAGCTGTCTGCAGACACATCTCCAACCCACTGCTCACCTCACTCATATGCCTGATGCTTTTTGGGGTTGAATCCTCTTGATCCAAGATGTCTCAGAAGAATTGGGGTCTAAGTATTTCTAGAGCACAGGCAGAGGTCTTTTACACATCCAAATACGTCTGTTGGGTTCCTTGTTTGCTGTGGCCAAGCACTGTCTCACAAGGAGCACTGGGTAGAGTTAGAGGTGAGAGTTTAAAGTGGATTTCCTCAAAGTTAGCAAATCCCTGCAGTGTGTCCTCATTCAGAACCGAAGTGACATTAATTCCAACATCATTTGCAACACAAATGATGTTAATCAGATTGCATTTGAAGGGGGGCATTCGCAGACAACTTCAACATAGTTTAACTAATCTTTCTGAGTAAATTTGGCCTGAACCCTCTAAGTGCCCCCTATTCCAGTTTCTCCTGAAGGGGTTGTGCTGAGTTTTACCTTTGAAAACTTGATCATCATTGTCCCTTTTTTATAGGGTTGGAAATCAGTGTCTTTCCAAAAGGCAGAAACTCTTCATCACCCACCACAGATAAACCAGTGCCTGAAGCCAAGGCAGTTCTCATCAGAGGAGGGATGACCTGGGTGAACGGTCCCAAGGGCAGGCAAAGCTCATGGAAGGTGTCCCTGCCCACGGCATGAGGGTTGGAACTGGATGATCCCCAAGGTCCTCTCCCATCCAAACCATTCTGTGATTCTCTAAGGGAGCTGTGGACCTTTGACACCTGGCCCAACCTCTCCCATCTGCAGCTCCAGCGATGCCCTTCTCCCAGTGCCGCTGGTGCCACTCCCGAGTTCGCAAATTCTGGCCGAAAGCAGCCGTGGAAGTGATGGTTTTTTATTATGTTTCTTTTTTTCCCCACAAAGCATCGTTTCAGATGTTAATTCCGAGGCTGGCTAATGAGAGGCTGCGCTGTGAATAGGCTCCACAAGCGGCTCGGGGCCGGGCTCGCCCTCCCGCTCAGCTCCGCCGTGTTAAAAGCCGCGCTCGGCGGTGCCGGAGCCCGACCCTCCGCTGTGCCCCGCTCATTATGCACCGAGTCACACCGGGCAGCTCCCGGCAGAACGCGGGCACGGAGGTAAACTGGTGTTTGGAAACAAAGGAGGGCTCTCTCCATCCTAATTAGCGGCAGGTTGCGGAGTGCAGCGGCGGAAGGCGAAGGTCACTTCCCACAAGGCTCTGCTCAGGATGCCAAAACACCCACTTAATTCAAGCGGCTCAGCAGGCAGAGTCAGACCAGAGCAATTACAGTCCCTGGATTTCCCCACGGAAGGTTTTAACAATGCAACTCCTAGGAAAAAAAAGATGACTGCAGGAGCTCTTTATTGTGCCACCTTGGAGCAGGAGGAAGCTCAGCCCACTGCTCCACTGACTCCGGGAACGGCAGGGCTGTCCCTTTGTGCCTCTGCACTGGGAGTCGAGCTTGGAGGGTTGGCTTTTTCTCTTTAGTTTTTTTATCTCGAGAAATGAATAAGAGCAAATTTTAACATTTTAAAAACAAAGACCAAAAAGACCCACAAACATGAAGACCCTTTGTAGTGGGTTGAGTTCCCTCCGAGTGCTCCAGGTTTTCTTGCAGATGCTGCCACTGAGAATTAACCTTTAAAGGAACCATCTAAGCATGAACCCTGGGAGCCTTCTTCGGAGAAGCAGCTCCTCTGCTGGGACACTCCTTGCCTGGCTCAGCCCAAGGATTCAGCTGTTCTGTTAAATGATTCAATGCACCTCAGCCACCTCACACAGACAGCTCTTCCAAAAGGTCAAAGCACCGTTTTTACTCTCAGCTGATATTTCCTCCTTGCACACCCTCCAGGTGATGTGCATCCACATCTGTCCTCCTACACACACCTCTCAGCTCCCTCGTGCAGCAACTCTCCCTTCAAAGCATCTGCACAGCCCTTGGCACCTTCTGCCGATGGCAGGAGCATTTCCCAGGGGTGCTGTGTAGGAACCCAGCTCCCTTCATCCCTTCCAAAGGCTCCAGGACAAGGAATTCGTGGTAATTTTCAGTGGGAAAGGAAGACTGAGATTTTTTAAAGTTATTTATTTTTAGCCTGATAAACAAGAGATGCAGACACCATCTGGATCCCTCCTCAAAGGCTTCAGATACAACATGCTGTCCAGATCCCTCTTGCCTATTCCAGCTCCCAGCAAGTGCTCACCAGCACATACTAGACAGGATCCACCCCAATCTGTCCTTGGATGGCATGGCTCCAGCCAGCAGCTCTGCAGGAGGCAGGGCAGCCATAAGCTTAGTGCAGCTTTCTTTAAATCATTTGTGAAATACATTTCAGAGGACAACCTGCAGTCCTTTCCCTCCAACACACTCCATGCTGTTCAACAACCATCACCCACCACCGCAGACTCCCTGCCTTCCACACCTGAGTCACAGCTGCCTCGTGCTCCAGAAACCCACCCTCCACCTTGGACCATCAACCCCAAAAGCATCCTTTAGAGCTGCAGTTCACCCTTCTTTCCACTCCCAGCTACAGTAACAGTAACTAATACTCAGCTCTGGCATCACAGAGGTTTCCAACTGTTTCCAAGCAGCCCATAAAATCACCGGCAGTGCTTGATGGGGCTCCAGTGTTGGTGCATCGCAGCCATGCCCGCTGCTCCCAGCAAAAAGAGCATGTTTGCCTGGCACAGAGCTGGGGATGGACCAAGGGACATGTCATGTGGGTCTCCGCAGCTCTGTGCCGCTCTTGTTCGGTCACAGGCTGCAAAGCCATCATCTATCCTGGCACTTCTCTTGGCAACAGATTGACTTTGCAGATCTGGGTGGCTGGAGCTGAAAAGTGGTTTTCTGTTTGCTCGGGAGATGTTTGCCAGGTCCCTTCTGAGAGTGCTGAGATGGTTTTAAGTGCAGGCCTGCCAGGAATAATGATGCTCGATGGGGAAAGGGAGGTTTTCCATCAGGGATGGACGGCTCTCCACCAAGCTGGTAATTCCATCATGCCTCCATCATTCATGTTAAAACACTGAAGGATCCTGCTTGTCCTCTGGCTGCACTCCCAGTCATCCCTGGCCACTGCTCCCACAGTGGATCCCATGGAGATGTCAGCTGGTTTTTTCCAGTGCTCAGGTTGTCTCTATAAACACTTAAAGTGATAAAACCCCTGGCCAGGTGAATCAGGGGACATCGGTACCACCACCTTCCTTCCCCCAGCACACAGGGAGAACACACCTTTACCTCCAGGTCTCCATCAGTCCAGGTGAGAGTTAATTATGGTCAATCAGCCAACACTCACAACAACCAAAACTGCAGCCAGGGCACCCGTGTGCTCGGCTCTTTGCCTCTTCTCCCCATTAAAAGCAAACTCATAAAATCACTAAATACCTCACAACCAGCAACTCACAAAGTTGGCCCTCTCCAGCCTCCTTTCCCCGACACTCATTGCCTGCAGAGCCAGAATGAAGAGCTGTTTCCCTCTCCTCTCCTCCTTCTCCACATCTCCAGAGCCTCTGCTCCGATGAAGTTTTAGCTGCTCCTTTTTCTGGGCAACACTGGAATTTTCTTCCCCCATTTTCTTCCCAGCCCCACTTGTTGCTGGGAGATCACTTGAGACAAGAAGCTGCTCTGCTCACCAAAGCTCCTACAAGCATTTGACAGGGCACCTGCTGAGCACAACAGCCAGTCCCAAAACCACTCATGCTGTTGTTATTAAGTGGGAGATCTCTCGCACCTCCCTGGCATAAGGAGAGGGTGAAAATACAGCAGTGTAGCCCAGTTCCCTCCCTTCCCACCAGAGCCAGGGCAGGTCCCTGGTCAGCTTCTTCCAGGGACAGAGGGTGCTGGCAGGAGATGAGTACCAGCGAGGAGCACTGGGTGCTGGAGCATCCCCGCGCTGAGCCAACCCCACAGCTTCCAGGGATGCTCTTCCACTGCTGCTCCACAGGTGCTGGAAACCACCTGGGACTTCAACCTGCTCTCCCAATGGAAAACATTCTGCCTACAGTCTCCAAACCCACAGGTGGGAGGAGATCTCCATCCTCAGTGCTCTGCTGCCCAACACAACCCTGCACCCTGACGGACCCTCAGAAACGCCCCTTCTCCTCCGCCCACTCCCCCTCCGAAGCAATTAAACCCTGGCTGCCAGGGCTGGGCAAGATAAATGGTGTTTATTGGGATGGCTTTCCTGCATGCCAAACATAAAACAAAATGCCAATCGATACAGCTGCCTCACCTGATGGGTTTATTTCCCTCATCCTCCCACCCCCGCTTTTAATTCCGCTGTGTGCCGGAGCCCTCGGTGGGCCCTGCGCCGTGGTGATAAACCAACAGATCCTCATTAACCCCCAGCCCGTGGGCAGCAGCAAGAATTCGCCTTTTCTCTCCCTTTCCCTTTGCCCCTTTTTTATTTTTTTTTAACAAAACTCTCCCTCTATCAATATTTGATGAGGGTAATTTCAAAGACTTGTTTAGTATGATCTCCACATAAGGAGTCCTTCGGAGTGTTTATCACGTTCGAGGTATAATTACATTCAAATCCTGAGACACAGTTGCCAGGGTTACAGCTGCTGGTGGTTCCTCCAGCTTTTGTGTGTCTGGGGTTTCTCACCGCCCCCCGTGCACACACACACCCCCCACGCTCTGCTCCTTTTGTGGCTGGGGTAGGACAGGAGGGTGATGGGCAGGTCATGGACCAGCAGTGGTTAGGGTGGGTCACACCAGCACCTCCCAGCCTGAAGAAGTCAGCATCACCATGCAGGATGTACCAAGTGTGGGATTCTGGGGTCAGGGATGGGGTAGAGGGAGAGCTGAGCAGGGAGTTGAACATTGCTGACAAAAATATTACAGTAAAATCCTCCACCAGGGACAGCACCCAAGGGAATGGCTGGAGCTGTGCCAGGGCAGGGTCAGGTTGGATCTCAGGAAAGGGTTCTTCCCCCAGAGGGTGGTTGGGCACTGACCAGGCTCCCCAGGGCAGTGGGCACAGCCCCAAGGCTGCCAGAGCTCCAGGAGGGTTTGGACAACACTCTGAGGGACATGGTGAGATTGTTGGGGTGTCTGTGCAATGCCAGGAGTTGGACTGGATGATCCTGTGGGTTCCTTCCAGCTCAGGATATTCCCTGATTCCATGAACCTCAATGGCTGTAGAAGCTCCATGGAAGGAGAGGCAGCAACACTTTCCTTCATCCTTTGAATCCCCAAGTGAAATCTAAAGAGTGAAGG